TATGCAACGGGGTAACTTTTGGAAAACAAATATCGGAGAGTGGACCAGATCTTTCACACAGGTGAATTAGCGGGTACGCCGGTTGTTAGGAAAAGCTTAAGTCTACTACGCTTAAGAAACTGAGGATGATCGAGATGAGTGTATTTTCTGGCGGTGCAACAAGGTACCCATTGACTTGAAAGTATCAGCTTTCTAAGGCATCACCGGGGCTGAAAACACGCGGTTGGCGACTGAGGGATTGGATTTGCAAACTTGGGTCTCGAACACAACACTTAAACTTCGGTGGGCTGAAGTCGGTTTTGCTCATACTTGGAGAAGTACCAGCGACGTAAATTTGTGGTATGTTCCGAATGGCCGGTTCGGGACGCGGACGAGAAGTCCCGGCTACAAACAAACGGCACGAGAAACTCAGCGACTGAGTAAGTAACACAGTAACTCGTACGAAACGATATTCATACAAGACGACGGTGATCTAATGATTCGAATACGAGAACGAGCGAGTGGGCCCAAAGTAGATGTATTCAACCCCTCGGCATGCGAAGAGCGTGGTACACGGCAAGCAAGTAAGTATATGAACAACGAGTTTTCAAGGAACAGGAAATGGGGCTTGGCTTTTGATTCTCTTCATTCATTGTGCTTTCGGTCCGTTAAGCCTTGTAAAACAAGCATAGGAGACATTAATAATGGCAGTCAATTTAAACAATACATATCGGTCTCAACTGTACTACCTTACCTGCGTTTCATTTTGGTACAAACGGTTACCAATTTTAACCATCATATTAGTGTACTGTAACACCGATTTTCATGTTAAACTTACAAGAAGGTGCACATCTCCACGCAATTTCGAACACGTCCATGCAGCCAATCTCATAGCTTCGCTATCTTAAATCCACACTGTTTGCTGTGCCATTAATGGCCAGCCTTGGTCGAGGCTGGCATAATCGCTGAGGCCAGTCGAAGATGGGGGAGTCTCGAAACGTCGTCTTGTTGTTTGTCCAGGTGAGCAAAATTTCAGAGTTCCTTGTGTTGGGATTTTCAGGTTATGTTTACTTTTCGGGAGCTATCATTACTGGACAACGGTCGTGGTAGTGATTGCAATTGAATCCCTTTAGTGTACAGCCTTGTTATTTGTAGGTCCTTGTGGGTTATTACGTCCTGTCCCGGGTGAAACCTCTGTTCCTCAGCCAAATACCAGATCTCCAAGAAGTTCCGAGCACAGCTGGAATACTTTTAAACAGAGGAGGTACTACATCAGTCCAGAGATCACTTTACCTATCCGAGCAGGGAAGTATTGAAACAAGTTATCGGAGGCTGTGGTCAGTACTTCTCCTGAGGAATGTTTTAAGAAGCTGTTGGTTAACGCTTGCTTCATGTAGCCGGGCCTTGCTGTTATCCGTAAAACTTTACTCACCCACTCTGAATTCCCCTTTCGCTGTAACACACCTCCTCCTCGCATTGACTGGAAAGTAATGAGGCTGACAAGGGTTGTCCCATCTAATCTCTACCATTCAATGCGGTGGTTGGGACACGTATTGCGCATGCCTGCGCAGCGTTATTTGCCTCGTGCGTTGTTTGCGGTTGCTGAACAGGGCTGGAAGAGACGGTCTTATGGACAGCCTACAACATGGAGAAGCCGCATGAAAAAGCTGACGAGTTGGCCTCGGCCGGTTGTTGTCGACTACCTGGTTGGGGTCCGAGAGATGCGGATACCTGATGGTTGAAGACTTTGGAAGCCATGGCTCAAGATCGATGTCAATGGCGGACGTGTGCATCGGTTTGTTGCGGTGTCCCTTCTTCCTACCCGTAAAAAAGAACAAACTGAAAAAGGTTCAAAAACCGTGAGTGGCAAAATAGACAAAAAAAGCATTTGTTGTTGCTCTTTTCTTATTATTCATATTGTTTTCCTATTCAGCCATGATTCCGATGGCACAATATCTGTCCTACAGAATGTATACATATATATATATATATATATATATATATATATATTCAACGTATTCAATGTTATGTATGTCGGTATGGCCTTCGGAATCCCGTACATTTCTTTCACGTGTTTCATGGCGGCATGTTATTTTGTCAGCTTTTTGATCCGCGTTTGCCACAGCTTCACTCCATTGGGGATAAGTTCTTCGTCCCCACGACTAGAACAGACCCGTCACGTAGACTGACCTCAACCCACCAAATTCGGACACTGGAATAGGCAGCATAGGTTGTGGTTTTCCTTGATTGTCTCCCTTCACAGGTGGACACAACTGGCACGAGAGCACATATGTATCGGAGACGTTTTTAATCCCAGCCCAGTAACCTCGCTGTCTCAGTGAATCATAAATTCTGGTTCAGCTGGTGTGAGCCATCTTGTGACTAGCGATCACCAACCTTATCCTCGATTTCTCAGAACCAGCTGCACCGGGTTAGCGTCGCGCTCTTTGGTCCAGGTCCAAATTCCGGTTTTGTTGATATGCACCTAATCCAGACTCCACGCAAACTACCCTAATTGCTGCCTTTGGTTTCGGTTTGCAGCAGCTTAATTCAGTATTTCTGCTGTTATAACCCTGTTCAGGAGTCTGTACTTTCATTGTTATGCCGCTAGCTTTCCCGGATCCTGCTCCAACATCAAGTGACTAACCCCGAAGGTGACGCCTGTCAAATCATCCTCTTTCGTTATGCATGATAAAGAAATCCACCGTTTCGTAGTTTCCCCCGGTTATGTGGTTTATCGTGCAGTCGTATTATTGTGGGGACAGAGCCCATCTCGCCAATGGGATCTCTGGAGGACCTAATCCATTACAATGGTTTGTCATCTGTTCCGACGTGTAGGCGTTGACTCAGCAAGTAGGACCGCCACTTATCCAGAGCCCAAAATATTTCCAGCTGCTCTTTCTCCACTGTCAAACTTCTGCTTTCCGATGGTGTGGAAATCCTGCTAGTGTATTCAGTCGTCTCCTACTTCTGCTACAGCAGAGCACTGATTCCGATGTCGCTTACTTCTGTGGCCACCGTCAAAGTTTCTCCGGAGATCGGCAATATCAACAGCAGTTCCTCTCTCCCCATCTCCTTTTGAACATATTCAACCGCTCACTGCACTTATACGGTGCAAGAAAATTACTTCCTTCTCCCGATGGCTCGTACAAAAGTTCATGTCAATCTGCTGAAACTCCTGACGTATTTACTATAATATCCGGCACGGCCCCAAAATGCTCGAACACTGTGATGCATAACATTGCCAATGCTTTTCCATTTAGCGGCTTGAGTTAACCCTGACCCGCTTTGTGAACAAACAGTGTCAAGGAATTTTTCCTGACTAGAGATTTAGGCCTATTTCTCCGCAATTCCGACTGTCGAATTTTTCATGTTGTTGCTTCCAGTTTACAGTGGTACTCTATCTTCGATTCATTATATACCAAGACGTCGTTTCACTCTCGGCAACATACTCTATTCTATCTAGCAGGCGCATCATCAACCATCAGATAATCCAAATGGCATCCGTTTAAATTGCTACTGCCTATCGCTAACCGTAAATGCTATCTTCTCGCGGTCAGCTTGTTTGATCATCAGCTACCATTAATCAAAGCTCAGGTCCAGCACCGTGAACATCCTTGAATTATGCAGTCAGTCGCAAATGTCTGCGACTGATGGCATCGGTAAGAACCGAGTCAACGAGATTTCGTCCAGCCTTTTGACGTTCACGCAAAGGTGGTACTTTACATTGAGCTTCTTCACCAAACCGAGTGGGGAGTTATAGAGGCTGTGAACCCCCTCGACTACACCTGCAGTGCACATCAGCAGTTACGTTCCGTCCTCAGCCTCAAGGTTTATTGGTATTGTCGTGGGTCCACGTGGCCGATACAGCTGCATTGATAGCGGTATAGTGGTTTCGACCTAGTCACAGAATCCGTACGGTATACTATCGTCAATATCAGAAATCACTTCAGGATAAAGAATTCTTTCCGGTAACTCTCATCGGACCCAAACGTTTACATAACAGTGATTGTGGAGATAGCGTCAACTGGGGCTGGGATTGACTTCTTGACTGTTTGAATGACCAAAATCGATAACTTGAGACAGAGATAGTGATGGTAGACTAAGTAAACTAAATAAACATGTGTACACAAGGCTCAGTAGTGCAATGTAATTAAGTAGGTAAGATAACAGCCAAATAACTAAGCAACTGTGTCCGTTGGCCAAGGTAGTAGTTTCGGCCGTATAAATCGTTTCTGGACACATAATTCCGGCTTTAGATGGTGAATGTACATAGCCTCGGCGATGGATAAGAGCTGTTTGCGAAATCCTTGGGAGAAGTGTTCAGGTAATGAGTAAATGACTTTGGCGGGGCTCAACTTTTCACGCGTGCCCTTTTTGCACTATTGATGGGGCTTGACTTTTCAGGTGTACCCTTTTGCCTTAGTGGTGGGGCTTAACTGGAAAAGAACCCGCGGAAGACATGAAACATGCGTAATGATGGTAAGAATTCTTTAGCTAGTCAGCTTCAAAATTATGTAAGCGATGATGTGTTGGGTGGAGGTTTAGAATATTGGTCGATATGGCTGGTGGAAATATCAGCTGATCAAATGGTATCCTACCTTTAACTTATTTTGCTATTTTTAGCTTATTTCTCTTCGCACAGGGAAGATACTAGCCACAATCATGTGACTCTAACCACATCATTCAAAAGCTATTGATGTGTATACAATCAATGGACAACTTACTTTGAACTCTGGCTTATACCATCTAGCCAAACACCACCTGTGTTTTCCCTGTGTAATCTTTCTGCCCTACTGTCGTAGTGTATTTTCGGGAGCCTCCCAAAATATATCATTGGGATACCAACAAGATTTTATTTCTAACATCCAGTAAGAACGACGGGACATGGCTATTTTTGGACTCCGCACCTAAGCAGCGCTCCTACAAATTGGAGACCCCGACGTGAGTTCGTTCTATCGGATTCAGCTTCCATCATCCGGTGAGTCGTGTCCATTTTCGTCGTTCTTTTTATTGCTTTCATGTATGCGAATATGATCGAGCAGCAAACTGGGGAGATTAACACCGTATCTACTAGCTGTTTACCAACATTTTGGATACAATATCCCCAGCTTTGGTTTTTCCAGGCCGAGTCATTTTTTGAAATTAATCGCATACATAGGGATGTCTTAAAAGTTCATTATGTGATCTCTAAGCTCCCACCTGAATTATTACTCCTGGCACAGGATATCTTGAAGACAAGCCCCACATACCAGCAATTAAGGGACTTTTTAATTCGCGAGCTTAGCCTTAGTGAGCGTAAGAGAGTGCAACGTCTACTTATAGAAGAACAGTTAGGCGATCGCACTCCTACTCAACTACTGCGAGCCATGCAAGCTCTGGTAGGTGACAGCCCTCCAGAGAATTCCATCTTTAGGCAGTTATTTTTGCAACGGCTCCCTACTCACGTACAACAAATACTGGCTAACGCTCATCAGGATACCGACTTGAAAGACCTAGCCCTTATGGCTGATAAAATAATGGAAATACAAGCACCCACGATCTCAATTTCTTCGCCTCCTATAACTGACGACTCGCTTGTAAAAGCTGTGCACTCCCTGCAGCAGCAACTGGCCTCCATCTCCATCACCCACCGAAACCGTAATTCGCGGTCAGGCCAGCGGCGTATTCGCAGCGCTAGTCGTTCACGTGGCATTTGTTGGTATCACCGTAGGTTCCGTAACAAAGCTCGGAAATGCATAAAGCCGTGTCGATTTTCCATTTCGGGAAACGAACACGCCAGCTCGTAATGGCGACGACGCAAGCTGGCATATGCGAGCCAGGTCGCCTCTTTTACCTGCGAGACGTAAGATCTGGCATGCGATTCCTCGTAGACACTGGTGCCCAAGTCAGTGTGGTTCCTCCACGTCCGGAGGACTTAAGGCACTGCTCTGTATACAGCCTGCAGGCAGTAAATGGCACGCCCATCCGAACCTATGGAGAACGGTCCATCACGCTGAACCTTGGTCTCCGTAGGCCTTTTCCTTGGATTTTCATTGTAGCCAAAGTGCCCACTGCCATTCTAGGCCTCGATTTTTTCCAGCATCATGGCATTATTGTCGATCCCAAGCGCTGCCAAATCATTGATGGCCTAACGCAAATATCTCGGGCTGGTTTTAAAGGTTCCATTATGTCTATGAGTCCGCAGCTTGCCCCACCACGAGCCACTCCAAAGTACTTGGATTTGTTACGAGAGTTTAACAGCTTAACAAAGCCTGGATACCAACCCGGTGATGTCAAACATGAGATCGTCCATAGGATAACGACAACAGGTAGTCCAGTCTACCATCGTCCGCGGCGTTTAGCGCCCGATAAACTTTCCGTAGCGAAGGCTGAATTCGACCATATGCTACAATTGGGCATAATACGTCCATCCAGCAGTACATGGGCATCGCCCCTACATATGGTCCCGAAAAACCAGCCTGGGGATTGGAGACCTTGTGGGGATTATCGGGGACTAAACGCTAACACCGTCCCAGACAGGTATCCCATTCCGCATCTCCAGGATTTCTCTTCCTCGCTATACGGAAAACACGTGTTCAGTAAGATAGATTTAGCACGAGCATATTACCAAATTCCTGTCCATCCTCAAGATGTTCATAAGACTGCCGTTACTACACCTTTTGGCTTATTTGAGTTCTTGCGAATGCCATTTGGTCTCCGCAATGCAGCTCAAACATTTCAGCGTTTTATGGATCAGGTTATTCGTGAGCTCGATTTTGTTTTCGTCTACATTGACGATGTCTTGGTTGCAAGTTATAACCATGACGAACACTTGCGTCATCTGCGACAACTGTTCGAGCGATTTGCGCATTATGGGGTGGTTATCAATGCCTCCAAGAGTCAGTTTGGTGTTGATACGGTAGACTTTCTTGGTCACCGTGTTTCCTCCGCCGGAATTACACCCCTACCCGACAGAGTGACAACCATCACAGAATACCCTATCCCCGATTCCATCAAAAAGTTACGTCGGTTTGTAGGCATGGTTAACTTCTACAGACGTTTCATCCCACACTGTTCTGAGTTAGCCCAGCCACTTACCGAGCTACTCAAATTAGATGCTAAATCATTCAGCTTCACGGAATCAGCTAAGCGGGCATTCAGTGATCTAAAACATCAGCTAGCAACTGCCACTCTCCTCGTGCATCTTGATCCGAAGGCTCCGTTACAGTTAACGGTAGACGCTTCAGATGCAGCAGTAGGTGGTGTGCTCCAACAGCGACAGGGAGGTGAATTGTATCCAGTTGCCTTTTTCTCTAAGAAACTGCAGCCTGCCGAACGACGTTATAGTACGTTCAGCAGAGAACTCCTAGCTATTTATCTCAATGTGCGTCATTTCCGACATTACTTGGAAGGGCGTACATTCACGATATTCACCGATCACAAGCCGCTAACGTATGTACTGCGTTCTGCTTCTGATCGACTTTCCCCACGAGAAACTAGACAACTAGATTATATCTCCCAATTTACCTCCGACATTCGGCATTTGTCCGGTGTGAACAACACCGTAGCAGATGCCCTATCACGGGCGGAAATCAATACCCTCCTTGAGCATTCCCCCATTGATCTTCAAGAACTAGCCACAACACAGCATCAGGATAAGCAGTTTCTTCAACAACTTCGAGAAACTAATCTACAGGTGAAACCCATTCAGCTGCCTGATAGTTCGGATGTTCTGATGTGTGACGTTTCTACAGGAAAGCCACGACCTGTAGTTCCACCGACCTATCGGCGAATCATTTTTGATTCATTACATGGTCTATCACATCCAGGCATCCGTGCAACGCGCAAACTCATCTCCGATCGTTTCGTGTGGCCGGCACTGAACAAAGACGTGCAGACCATGGTGAGGAATTGTCTCCCATGTCAGCGTTCAAAAGTGCACCGCCATACACAGGCACCTCTTGGCGAGTTCACCGTTCCCGATGCTCGTTTTAGTCACGTGCACATCGACACCGTCGGTCCGCTGCCGCCGTCGAGTGGATTTAAGTACCTACTTACTTGCATCGATCGTTACACTCGTTGGCCCGTGGCAGTACCTATCGCGGACATTTCCGCAGAGACGGTAGCACGTAACTTTGTGGCTCATTGGATCGCACATTATGGTGTCCCATCCACCATAACAACGGATCGCGGTGCGCAATTTGAATCAACCCTCTTTCGAGATCTCACTAATATCCTCGGAGCTAAGCGAATAAGAACAACTGCGTACCATCCAACAGCGAACGGGTTAGTCGAACGTTTTCACCGCCACCTCAAAACATCTTTGATGGCATGTTCTGACACTACCCGTTGGACAGAAAACTTACCGCTGGTTCTATTAGGTCTACGAACGACGTTTAAAGCTGATTTAGGTTGCTCTGCCGCGGAGCTGGTATACGGTACCACGCTAAAGCTCCCGGCTGACCTCGTTCAACCCATCGACTTCAACGCTCTAGATCCCTCAAACTTTGTTCATCGCTTACGTTCATCCATGCGTGAACTGCATTTTACTGCCACACGAGCACAAACTAACAAGTGTTATATACCAAAAGATCTGACAACTTGTTCACATGTGTGGCTACGAAACGATGCAGTCCGCAGGCCTCTACAACCACCGTACGAAGGGCCATTTGAGGTGATCGCTAGAACAGAAAAACATCATATGATCAACAGGAATGGTAAAGTCGATGTAGTTTCGGTAGACCGACTCAAGCCAGCGTATATAGAACAACCTTGTGAAAAACAATCGACAGGTTCTAAAAACACCATATGTACGCAGGAGTCATCAAAGCACTTTGAAAATGATCCTCAATCATCAACATCTGAAGCTAAGCCAAAAGAGACTAGTACGCGGCAAACACGGTCAGGTAGAAAAGTTCATTTTCCAGACCGTCTAGCGTATTAGACATCTTGAGAATAACAACTTGCCGTGCTGTCTATCTTGTTATACTACCTGCTGCCAGTTTTCTTTCCTGCTCGTTGCTTTCCAGTGTTTGCCAGGAGAGGAAAGAACAACCTTAGCACGAATAAGAAGATTCTCATGTCGACAAAAGGCAGAAGGATTGCGTTGGACAACACTCGCAACTCAAACATCCTTGTTGCACTACTACATTCTGCTCCCACATTTTCATTGTATCTTCGCTAACAACTTTACCTGCATGCCTCCTGTGCCTCAGCCTCGGGCATTTTAAGCGACACTGTATCAGGTAGAGGTCAGTTTTCCCGGCAATTCCCACCGGGTTTTTTACTCCTGGTCGCTTATCACCGTGCGGCTACCGCACTGGTGGGGAGGTATGTAGGAGCTTTAACTTATTTTGCTATTTTTAGCTTATTTCTCTTCGCACAGGGTAGATACTAGCCACAATCATGTGACTCTAACCACATCATTCAAAAGCTATTGATGTGTATACAATCAATGGACAACTGACTTTTGAACTCTGGCTTATACCATCTAGCCAAACACCACCTGTGTTTTCCCTGTGCAATCTTTCTGCCCTACTGTCGTAGTGTATTTTCGGGAGCCTCCCAAAATATATCATTGGGATACCAACAAGATTTTATTTCTAACGTCCAGTAAGAACGACGGGACATGGCTATTTTTGGACTCCGCACCTAAGCAGCGCTCCTACATACGTTCTCAGGTTGTGCATTTACATTCCTCAGTGGATCTGGATCTATCAGAGCTGCATTCATCTGGTACCAAGGTAAAATTGTATTTTTTCACTGGAGGGACTACAATATTAGTGCCTTAGCTGAAACTGACTTTATACATGAAGCTAACTTGCTACTTGCATTAATACTCTTGTTTTCAAGTCGTACATTACTCATATTTTCAAATATATAGGCAGGCATGTACAAGGGGTTTGTTGCAGTAAACTTTCGAGGTTGTGAATCTTTTGGATGTTGGTATATATGAGATAGCGTGGCACATTGTTGATGTTTTAAAAGATTTGCGCAATTGTTTAGTATTTTACACGTCACATCTTAAGATACTTAGACATGCTCTTTGAATTATCCGTTTCGGTGCCAAACTTATCATTTATATTATTGCACGCATAGCTCAAAATATGATACACTTGAGAAGAGCTCTTGCTCACTTAAAAGTAATGAAAAGCAACAGTGGGAACGCACTTCCTGACTCAGTTGTATCCTCCTCCTACCCTGGTTGTTTTTCAAAAAACGATTAGATGTTGCTCTAGCTCCCAACATTTTGTTACCTAAATTCCCCTACTGTGGATTAGCCAAGGATGCATTTCTACAGGCTTTCTGTATCAAATGGACCTAAGTGAGCGACCATATTTTACTTTTCTCACCTCTTCTTACCTCAATGATCACTGCTACCCCAGTGTTTTTCTGCATGTTTCCGCCCGATAATTTATTTTAATTTTACGCTTATGTTGCTGATCAAACTATTCATATCGGCAGACGTTCGATAGATGACCCAGACATATTTTGATTTTATCATATTCACCTCAACCATCCTACGGGACGTGTCAAGCACTTGCTTTTATCCCGTGATAAATCATTGTTCATTGTTCATCTAATCATTCGTAGTCAACTATTGTCTCAAGTGCCGATACGAGGATAACATGGGCCTCATAAGCAGTCAATCGTGGGGCTCTACATGACACTCAATTCAACTACTGGTGGGCTGCGGATAGAAAATGAAGTAGCATGTAAACTATTGTGTGAGGAACACTGGTGTATCGAACGACAATGTCAGTAAGGGTACGTCTTCGTCTCAAGAATGACCCAAAAACATCAGTTT